TTCTCCATCTCAGCAAATAACACCACCATCCTCCAAGAAATGCAAGCAAGAAATGTAGATGGCATACTTGCCATCCTTAGTCCTCCCCCATTCATCTGGTTCATTACCTAGCCATGTTTATTCCTTTCCCCAAATGAAGTTTTTGTTTTTATTTGAGACAGCATCTCACTGTTGCTCTGGCTAGAGTACAGTGGCATCATCATAGCTCACCGCAACCTCAAACTCCTGGGCTCAAGCAGTTCTCCTGACTCATCCTCCCAAGTAGCTGGGACTACAAGCATGCACCGTCACACCTGGCTAATTTTTCTGTTTTTTGTAGAGATGGGTCTTACTCAGGCTGACCTTAAATTCCTGGCGTCAAGCAATCCTACCTCGGCTTCCCAGAGTGTTAGATTACAGGAGTGAGCCATTGCGCTTGGCCCCCAAATAGTTTTAATCTAACCTGTTTTAAAGACCTGCTGACAAATGTCTTCCTTGGTAGTAAATCCTGTCATTCGGTAATTTCATTGTCGGAAATTATTTCTTGTTTCAAATAGAAAAATTTCCACTGTAGTTTAATCCTGTTGTCTCTTCATAAAATCCCATCATACCGATGAAAGATCAGCAAACTTTGTCTGTAAAAGGCCAAGTAGTAACATTTTAGATTTTATGGATAATGTGGATCTCTGTAACTAATAAACTCCATGTGCCCTTGTAGTAGGAAAGCAGTCATAAACAAATGAGCATGACCATGTTTCCTATAAAACTTTATTTAATGACGGCATATTTGCACATCAAGGTTTATATCAGTGTCATTCACAATACCTAAAAGGTGGAAACAACCCAGGTGTCCATCGGCAAATGAATGGGTGAACAAAATGTGTGTGTAGATAGGAATATTATTCAGCCATGAAAAGGACTGAAATTTTGAAATGTGCTACAATAGAGGGACCTTGAAAACATGCTTAGTGAAATAAGCCGGACATAGAAAGCAAATGTTGTGTGATTCTACTTATATGAGGTGCCTAGAATAGGGAAATTCATAGTGACAGAAAGCAGACTGCAGACAGGTTAGCAAGGGCTGGGCGGGTAGGGAGAGTTATTGTTTAATGGGCACAGAGGTTTTGTTGGGGATGAAGAAAAAAATTTTGGGTATAGATCATGGTGATGGTTACCCATATTGTGAATGTATTTAATGCCACAGCATCATACACTTACAGATGGTTAAGATAAATATTATGTTAATGTATATTTTACCACAGTTTTTTTAAAAAATAGGAAGGCATGGAAAATGAAAGAAATAAAAAAAGACGGCAGGGTGGATTTGGCCCACTGGCTATAGCCAACCCCGATACAGGTCATAAAGTCTTGTTAGCCTCTACTTTAAGCTTATTTCATACATTTTGTGTGTGTGTGTGTGTGTGTGTGTTTTCTAATTCTTAATCATCTTAGTGATGGTCCTCTGGGTTTTATATATTCGTGAATGTTAGTACTAAGAACTGAGCCTCAAGAAGAATTTCCTCATTTGACTTCTCTCACTCAGAAATTCCATGAGGGCAGAGACTTCATCTTATTTCTGGCTGTTATTCCTGGTGCCCAGAACAGTGCCAGGTATAGGAGGCCCTCGATATGTTTTGAACTAATACAAGGAGTAATTTAGTCTCTGTAAACTAACAAGGGCTCTGTAAGTAATCAATTCCATGTCCCCTTGTAGCAGGAAAGCAGCCATAAACAAATGAGCATGACGGTTTCCAGTAAAACTTTATTTATAAAAATGAAAGAAACAAAAAAGATGGTAGGCTGGATTTGGAATAAATGATTCCTTTATGCCTTGAGTTCGACCTCCTTTCTTTGTTGGCACACGTGAGACATACCCTCTTGCAGTGGGCTGAATGTTTGTCATCTCCCCCATTCATATGTTGGAATCCTAACCCCCAAGCTGATGATATTGGGGGTAGGGCCTTTGGGAGGTAAATAGGTCTGAGGGTGGAGCCCTACTGAATAGGATTAATACCCTTATAAAATGGAACTCCAAGAGCTCTCTAGCCCTCTGTCTGCTTTGTGAGAATGCAGTGTTGAAGATGGCTGTCTGCAAACTAGGGAATGGATCCTTACCAAGGAGGAAACCATGATGGCATCCTGATCTTGAGCTTTAACCTCCAAGCTGTGAGAAATAAATGTTTGTTGTTTGAAGTTGGCTCAATAGCTCAGAGGTTAGAGCACTGGTCTTGTAAATGTTTGTTGTTTAAGCCACGCAGTCTGTGTTATTTTTGTTGCAGCAGCTCATATAGACTAAGACATCCTCATCAGCAGCTTATTCAGACTAGCAGTGATTCTCAACCTTGCTATCATTCTTGTATCTGAAATATAAAACATCAGTGAAGAAAAATAGCTTGCTTGCCCACCAGTGTATTTCTGTACCACTTGAAAGTTTTGGTGCGGTAATAGTTGTGCCTAGGCCAGCAAGATTGGCAGGTGAAGGGGCATCAATAGAGGATAGGCAGCCCTGAGAAAGAGAACGAAACAAAATTCCGATACAGTACAGAGTCGTGGCTTTGTAACTTATGATCAGTAACCACATTTTCTGCCCTTTTCTTTAATATCCAGCTTTTTTCTAAGGCCCCCTTCATCCATCAATGGATAGATATTCCTCATGTGTAAATGGATAACCTTGAGTGTGTTAACCTCCAGTGTTCTTTGTGGTTCCAGACAGGAGGCAGCCGAGCTTAACTGTTAAGCATACAGTTAAGCTTAACAGTTAGGGTTAGACTTCAAGTTCACATCTGCCACTTACTAGCTAGTTAACTCTGAACAAGATACTTAACACATTGACTGCCACACCAGAAAAAAAATTTTTTCCCCTGGGTCCACAGTCTTTTATAAAACAAAACGATCCTTTCTAATTTGTTCTTTTTTATTGTTTTTTGTGCATGAGTTATATGCAATGCTATCCATGTTTTTAGAATTAAATTGTAAATATTAATTGTAACAATAAGAAGAACATCAACAAGTAAGACTTTCATGACCAACTGCAGGGTTTTGCTTCAAGAGGCCCCAGACTTAAAACTAGCAAGAGTTAAGTACAGCTCACATGGCAGTCAATGTGTTAAACTCCCTCTGCCTCAACTTTCTCCTCTAAAATGAAGGAATATATGTGGTTCCTTGTAATGACTTATCTAATATTTTTTAGAATCAAGAGTAGTGGAAGTAGGGAGGCATTTAAAGTTTAAAATTGTTGTTTTCTGTGTTTTTTGTTGCTGAGAGTGGTCGAATTTGATAATGCTGCTTGAATCAAATGAATCTACTTTCTGTCTTACTCTCATACTCTAGCTTTGCTCTGATGTCAGAGCTGTGTGGTAAACAGGTATATGTAGCTTTGGGTAGTGACATCAGTTGTAGAGGTTTGATTTGGTCTCTGGTCTTGCTTTTGAACACTGGTAGAGAGGTAATTCGAGGTAAGAGTTGAACAAGCCAGTTTTCACTTGTGAAAGATCATGTTACTGCTCTTGATGAAACAGACAATTTGATCAAGAAGCAGAAAATTTCAGTTAGCACTGAAAATTTTGGAGTGCCTATTTTCTGCTTTAGGCATCAAAGGTACTAGAAGACTGTCTTTGGCCTCTGGGCACTTCCACTCTAGCTTAAGAGGCAAGGCCAACAAAAATTCAAAACGGAGAGTTTTAGAGTCTGTCAGTCTTATCAGGAAATAATCTAGGAGTTCAGAAAAAAAGGTAGGAATCTGCACTTGGAGTGATAGAATCAACAAACCCTTATAGAATTGGGGGGAGGGGCAGGGGCAGGGCTGATTGATAGCAAAGCCAGGAAACTTAATGAATACCTCCTGTCAGGCACTTGTGGATTAACCTGTGAGAAAAACTGGCTGGTTGGAATACAGAGGGCATATGCAAAAGAGAAATAGAAGGTCAAATCAGATTTGCGAAAATGGGAGCAGACAGCCTAGAACCCAAAAAAGCCAAATTGGAGTAATTTATAGCACAGTTGAAGGGCTTGCACCAGGGATGAAAGTATCTCGGCTGTATTTTCTGTACCAGTTTATGCTTTCCAGCATCACTAGAGTAGAGAGCAGAATTGTGAAAAACAACTAAGAACTGCTAAAGTCATTTAGTTTTGAGATAGTAAAAACTTCAGTTGATGGCAGTGGGACAAAGAGAGAAAACTTACTTTATCAATAGGGTTTGGTGTCTGCGATATAGGAGATTAATTATATAGGGTCAATATGGCTTTTTTTCCCAACCTGTTGGATTTAAGGTTGGGGTACGACATACTAGTAGAGATGCCCTACATTCTTTGAACAGTTATTTATTGAGGGCCAGCTACATGCAGACTTTGAACAAGGCTCTTGGAATACTTGAAATTAAAACTGACCAACCTGTCCGTCCTCGTGGAGCTTACAGTCTAGTGGCAGAGGCTAATGAAAATCACAGCTATAATTACAAATTGCAGTTAGTGGAAATTGTGTGAGTAAAGACCATGAGGTTAGGGTGGGTGGCCTGTGATACCAGTGAGGGACTTGATAATGACCAGTATAGGTGGGACAAGGAGTGAGGGGAAACCAGAGGAGGTGGCTGCGGAGGTAGGCGAGAGGTTAACTAAGAGGCAAAGGCTATGAAATCAGATTTGAGTCAGTCATTGCTGAGTTGGTAATTACCAGGAAATGCATGTGGTGGATAAAAAGCAGAACTCTGACAAGCAGGAGGAGAAGCCAAGAAGCTGAAAATAAGCCAGTCGAAGTGGGATAGAATCAGGGAAGTGCAGTGACGAAGACACTAACAGCGAACTGCTCCCAAGAGGCTAGGGAAGAATGCTAGTATAAAGGTCTGCTGGATTTGGCAGTGAAGATTTTGGTGACCTTTGAGCAGAAACAGGATTTCAAGATTGAGGACAAAGTGAGTAGTTAAGAAATTGACGTGGTGGCTGTTAATTACCCATTTAAGAACGTGGTAGTGAAAGCAGTTTTTATAATTTTAAAATGTATTTATTCAGCTAAGATAATCTCATGATGTGTTTTAGATGAAAAAAAAGATATTGACCATGAGACAGTGGTTGAAGAACAGATCATTGGAGAGAACTCGCCTCCTGATTATTCAGAGTATATGACAGGAAAGAAACTTCCTCCTGGAGGAATACCTGGCATTGACCTCTCAGATCCCAAACAACTGGCGGAATTTGCTAGGTAAGTTATAAGAACTTATCCTTTCTTTTAATTATAGAAAGTGCTCGAATCTTGCCAGCTGTGCTGTTTTTTGCCTAAGTTACAATAGTGGTTTGTAGTCTTTCTCTAGAGAAACTTGTGAAAACAAAAACAGTCAGTTTTATTTTTATTAGTGACCATGCTATTAATGTGAGTGGCAGCATTTTAGATCCTTGTAGACAATAAGATGGGCAAATACTCTTTAATTCCATAATTGACATTGCTTGTGAGTAAATAAAATTGCACATAATTTGTTTTGAAATGGATATCCTTATACTACCTCATGACCTCTTTGTATACATTTTAAACTTGGATGTGTTGTACTGGACTAAGCTGCAGGAGATCTGGGTCTGTACTAGATTTGCCGGCTGACCTCTGGAAAGGATTTCATCAGTTCATATTTTGCTATTTCATCAGCTAAGCCTCCAGCATTTTGTTAAATTAAGCTGCCATGATAAGAAAAGGTCAGGTATTTATGGCCGGGACCCCTATGCCTGTCCAAGGTGAGCAGTCAAGAAGACCTGAACCCACTGGATGTTTGTGTGTTTGTTTTGCAATGAAATGAGCTAATAAACTCTGGAGCAGAAGACCTAATGCCTTTCCATTCCTGGGATTGAATGGAACCTAGACTAGCCCAGGAAATTTAGGCAAGGGCAGGAACAGGAAGAAAGGAATATGTGTGTACTTGCACATTCTAAGAACAGAGTAGGACACCATTTTTCTTTCTCGAGAGCTTACTGGTGGAGGGAAAGAACTGGAATCCCTGGCGTGTCTGTCTTCCCTGCTGGGCCCCTCCTGGCCCTGCTGAAAACAAGGGTGGGCAACTGCTGCCACTGGGATCCTGTTTCCCCACTTGTGCAGTGGGCATAAGAATCCCACTGTGACTTGATGAAGAGGGTTCTTACCCTTCTGTCCTTTTCTCCTTTTCTCCAGTGAAACTACAGCTTTAGAGAATATGTTCATTGATTTATTTCTAATTTATCGTGGCTTAACAAAGTTAAGGCTCTATCCTTTTCTTGATGACATATTCCAGCTTTTATTGCCATTTACGTTTCAAATACAATTATGTGAATCAAATGTTAACTGCCCTTCTCCCCCCAAAAAATACAAATAAAAACTGAATCTGTAGGGTACTTAGCAGTAAGGTTAGAGTTTTTGGACAGATTGAGCCAAGTCTGCCAGTATTCAATGTTGTCATACATTCTTAAAATTAGCCAGCTATTCCTTATGTGCTCAGGATTCGGAGATGGAACAAAGGAATCAAGGAAAGCTTTATGGAGGGGTGGCATTTGATTTGGGCCTGAAGAACATAGAGTTGTGATAGGTAGAGATGGAGGGGTTTCCTGGGAATTAGGGTGTACATGGAAATGATTAGGTAATTTGGAACCAGATCATTAAGGTCCATGTATCCTGGGACCAACCCCTGTGGACTTTTTAGTATGCAGTGGGCAGCTGCTAAAGGTTTTTGAGCAGTAGAGAAGGGGGCTTTAATTTGAGAGAATTACTTTGCAGCTGTCTATCCAGGCTGGATTGTGCAGGTACAATCAGGTAGTGGGAGAGGTCAGTTGAACAAGAACTAATGAAAGCCTAAGCTAGAATTGTGGTAGTCGGTTAGTAAAATAATAAATGTGATAGAAATTGCAGGAGACAATGGAAAAGATTTAGAAATGGATTGACTGTGTATGTAGGGGTGTTGGGGGACAAAAAAGAAGAATCAAAATTGACAAGCTTCACTCCTTAGGTGACAGGGAAGATTGGGAGAAAGCTCTGGTTTAGGGTTCAGAGCAGGCAGTGTTGGGTTAGAGATGCTAATAAATCGTCCATGTTGGACTTGAGATGTTTTTAGGAAGTAAGTTAGGGCTAGAGTCATCTGATAAGGGAAGGAGTGGCTAAAGGCATGAAAATGTTAAGTAATCTCTTTGAGGGGAGAGATTTTGGAAGGAAAAGACCCCAGCATAAAATCTTGGGGGAAACCCTTGTATTTGTAGGGTAAGAGGAACTAGTGACAGCGTAGAAGCATCATTGAGAGAAGTGGGAGGAGACTTAGGGAAGTACAGCCTCACAGTAGCCAGTGAAGAAGTTTCCAGAAGGTACAGGGAGAGGGAGGAATAAAATCTCTTTAGATTATATATTGTGAAGTAATTTACATGGAGGGGCAAAGAAAGGACTGGAGCAAAGTCTGAAAGAGAAGGGGAAACCAGGGGTAGTGAACAGGTAGGAGTAATTAGGTGTTAGTGACCCTTGGCATTGTTCACACTCCCTAGAGAATTGGAGCAGCTGATAGGAGAGCTTGTCCCCAGTCCTCCGAACAGAAAATCCAGGGGCACGTGTCAGAACCTGAAAGCTTCCAGTGAGATAGGCCATCTACAAAAGTGATAGACCTGAACGAGACTTTTCTTCAATAGCAGCAGTTAATTAGGAGACAATAAAACATTGAGAGGAAAAGTTGTTATAAACGTAGAATTCTTCATCCAGCAAAACTGTCAGTCAAATACAAGGGCAAGAAAATGACAGTTTTAGAGACCTATGGATTCGTTTTATGTCTCACCCTTTCTGAGAAGTTATTTGAGGGTATACTACAGCAAAATGAAGATGGACCTCAGAAGGAAGACTTCTGGTGAAAAACAACCAAGAGGACAGCTCTGCAGCAGGCGGGAAACACATTCAATTTAGACTAATAAGTCAGCCAGCTTTAAGAGTTTCTTCAAGAACAGTCAGTGTCATTCTGTAGTGGATAGAATGAGTAAGAAGTGTGGTAGTGCCTATGGCCACACTGCCCTGAACGCGCCCAATCCCGTCTGACCTCAGAAGCTAAGCAGGGTCGGGCCCGGTCAGTACCTGGAAGGGAGAAGTGTGGTAGTGTGGAAAAGGGTCTTATAAAAAAGAAAAGGCAATCAGGAACTTTCCTGAAAAGGGTCAAGGGGCTAGGGCTAAGAAAGCCGTGGCCTAAAAATTGGGCATAATTTTGACAATATGTAAAGAGAGAGGACTCACATGACCTGAATCCAGCAAGAGTCTCTCTTTGGGACTTGGAGCTACTGTTTTGGACTTGTAGAGCAAGAAGTGTAATCCTAGCACTGTTTAACCCTACAGTAAATAGCAATATTTATATACGCAAAATACAAATATAAACGGTGGTTTTTTGTTTTTTTTTAAATCAGCCTGTTAAGCGTTTTATGTATAGAGTAGAATGAAATCTTGCTCTCTTGACAATATGTAAAAAGTAAAGACGCAGAGTTTGGGCCCTGTGAGGTGATTGAGGGTTGGACTCATTCTCATCCTCATTCTGCATAGTATCTCTTGAAGATCATGTTAATCTAAACAAATCTCTTTAATTGGAGGTGGTGGTAGCAAGAAATATTTGATCTGGGTTGCCCTATTTTGTTAGATCTTCACATTTTGAGAATGTGTAACAGTTGAATAGGATTTTCTGGAGGCCCCAGAATTGGTGACTGGGACTCTGAAGACTGAAGATGAAGAGGCACCAAGAGTTTCAAACTGTTGGAGAGCAGACCACATCTTCCTCACTGATTAAGATCCACAAAACTTGCTCTGATGGCCTCCATTCCTCATCGCCTGCAACCCTGACTCACGGTGGCATTGGAGGCCCTGAGCTGTGGGCTTAGGGTAGAGTGTTAGCTGTATTCCCCTCTTCTCCATGTCCTGGAGTGATGGCATGCTGAACTGGACTTGAAATTGACCAAAGAATGTTTTAGGCTCCTGCCACACTCAGCCTAGACTGCTTAGTAAGTCAGTTACAGGTACATTGTGGGCAAAGTATAAGAAGTAATGACTTTCATTTGAAAGTCATGGCATTGGGGAGGTGGGCACTATGGGTGACATTGTTTTTTCCAGATATGTCTGTTTGGTAAATACTTTAAAAAGTAGTCAGCGAGTGGGACTTGAGAAGTTCCATTTCCCAGTTAAATTGCCAACCTTTGTGTGTATTTCATTAACTAAAGTTAGACCTTTGAAAACCTTTGGTCTAGAAAGATTAAAATAAATAGTGGTTAGGGCAATCCCAAATTAGTTTTGTTGTTGTTGTTAACTACTCACCTTGAGTCTTTCAGAGGATTAAAGATGAAATGGGATAATGGAGATGAAAATACCTTAAAACACTTCAGTATCATCCCATGAATATATGCTGTCTATTTAAGAGATAGTTGATTAAACAAACTTTGTTTCATTTGGCTAAGGCAACGTCTTTGCATAAAGAAGAGAGGTGGATCATGCTTGCAAATGGTAGCTGTATAACACAGGAACTTCTGCTCCACCAGCACAGGTCAAAATTGGTGGTTCTGGTCTGGAACTCAACTTAAGCTTATTTTGTAAGGAAGAGGCTTATTTTCATTAAAGAATCACCACTCCAAAAATGTTTTATCTGTACTCCTGGGACATTTGGAGGTTTCAATTAGTTGGAACTTTTGGTTTACACAGTGCTCTGCTGAAATTGTGACTGAAAGTTCCTACAAATTTGGGTTCTGGGCTCTAATCTTCACAATGTTCCTCTCGTATATGCCAGAATAAGATATTATAAATCCAGCATAGGGAGCATATTCTTCACCTTTAGTTGAATAGGAAACTTCTGTGGTTGGGTACCTGGCTCCTCCGTACACATGTAATAGGTTGAGGGGTGCTTCTTTACTAGTGCCATTCTTTCTCCAGTCCCTCAGTCCTTTAGTCAAAAGGGTGGTTTGGAGCACCAGAACCATTTGGGGTGTTAAGCACAACTGGCATGATGTTTTTAAAGAATGAACTCATTTTTAGCCCCAACTTTAACCATAACACCCTAACCCCTTAAACCCTAATGCTAACCCTCACCTTCACCCTTACCCTAACTCTAAACCTAACCATTAACCCTCACCCTAATACCCTAACACTATCCCTACACCAAGCCCTAAAAAAAAAAAAAAAACAAAAAAAACCACTTTTTTAGTGAGGCCCATTTAACACGTAGCCAGTGGTAATGATAGCTGTCATTTCCTAAGTGCTTAACATACATCATCTCTTTTAATCCTTGCAACTCCAGTAGCATACCTTTTTACAGAATAAGAAACCAAGGCTGAGAAGTTAAGTAGTTTGCTCAAGGTCATACAGCTAGTAGAAGTCAGCTCCAAGTCATGCATCCCATACTGTCTTGTTCATAGTGTCTATGCTGTTGTCATCATTGTCTCTGGGTTCAAAAAGATCCGTGTAAAGTATCACAGTCAGTGAATGGGAAACTCAAATCTTAGTTACCCCTGAATAGTTTGGGAGGGTTGAGAAGATATTCTTAGTAGTGGTGTATGATTTTAGTCTTTACTCACAAAACAAAACGCTTTCAGCCTAAGTGAACTTTTTGAAAAATGACCTTTCCATTGTTTGCATTCGATTAAAATGTAAAATGTACCAATATATATAGCCACATTTGCCACACAGTTGTGAAGGAGGAGGAGGAGATTTCTAAAGACTACCACACATTTTGAAAATGCCATTTTAAGAAAAAAATACCACTGATAACAAAATTAAGAGTTGGATAAATGGTACACGAGACTATTCTTTACTTTAGTACATACTTGAAATTTTCCATGATAAATGTCTTTTAAAAAATTGAGTTCCTGGGAATAAATCTAAGAAAATATATGGTAGGGGCTTAATCCTCCTTAATTCAAGTTTATTAAGATACAATTTTACATTCAGTAAAATTTACCTCATTTGGGTATGTCCATTCTATGAATTTGGACAAACACAGTCATGTAGCCATCTCCACTGTGAGCACAGAATGCTTCAGTGGAATCCTCAAAGAATAAAATTTCTTAATTCGAAAGTTTGAAACTTAGTTCTTTTTTTTTTTTTTTTTGAGACAGAATCTCACTGTCTTGCCTGGACTAGAGTGCCGTGGCGTCAGCCTAGCTCACAGCAACCTCAAACTCCTGGGCTCAAACGATCCTCCTGCCTCAGCCTCCCAGGTAGCTGGGACTACAGGCACGCACCACCATGCCCGGCTAATTTTTTCTATTTTTAGTTGTTTGGCCAGTTTCTTTCTATTTTTAGTAGAGATGGGGGTCTCGCCCTTGCTCAGGCTGGTCTCGAACTCCTGAGCTCAAACGATCCGCCCACCTGGGCCTCCCAGAGTGCTAGGATTACAGGCATGAGCCACTGCGCCCAGCCTGAAACTTAGTTCTTAATGTACATTTTAAAATTAATATTTGAATGGAATAGAACCTTTCATGTGAATCACTGTTGTTTTTCAAGCTGATCTAACCTCCAGGTGGTAGGTACAGTGGCACCAAACTTTTGTCCTACTTGGTTTTGTGAACTTAGACCAAAACTCTAGTCAAGTCCAAAAGAGCTTTAAAAAGAAAAAAAGCACTCTAGGATTTATTGGTATTTAGGATAACAAAAGCTAATCAGATCCCTGTTACACAAAAGGCACTTAAAAAATTATTCACTTTATGTGGTAATAGAGATTGAGTATCCCTTATCTGAAATGCTTGGGACCCAGTAGTATTACGGATTTGGGGATTTTGCATATACATAATGAGATATCGTGAAAGTGGACCCCAAGTCTAAACATGAAATTCATAGAATTTTGTGCGTGAAACAACAGTTTCGACTGTCTTTTGACTGCAACCTGTCACACGAAGTCAGGTGTGGAATTTTCCACTTGTGGCATCATGTCAGTGCTCAAATAGTTTCAGATTTTGGAGCATTTCAGATTTTGCATTTTTGGAGTAGGGATGTTCAATCCGTGATCCATTTACATGAAAGAAAGAACGAGTATTCACAGGGTTAGAGTGAGGGAGGATACCAGACTAAAAATGTTCTAGTAGAACTTAAAGCAGAAATTGTCAAGTACAGTCTTGAACAAACTCCGTGGAGATGAGTAATAGCTACCAGATACATTGTTCCTCCTATACTCTTCCAGGGCATAGAAAATTTAACCAGGTGATTTCACAAGTTCAGGTTTTATAAAGTAACGTGGATCCAGGTAATCCTTTTCCCAGATCACAGTGAAGGAGGACATTGTTTGGGCCTTTGTTAACTTAAAGATGACAGAAATAATCGTTTTTTTTTAAGATGTAATCTTTTGTAAATTAGCTCTTACTGTTAAAGAATCACAGACTTGGTTGTTTACTAAATATGGAGGGGTGTGAGATGGCAAAGCTAGGGAACAAAAAGAAAATCTGTTTCAAAGTTATAAATCATCTCTAGGTTTTCTAGGAGCTCTTAATTTCTCACCCCTCTACCACACACAGATCTGTAGGGAGTATATGGAGAGAAAGGTGGGTTGAGAGGAGATAGCAGGTAGGTAAGTTACCAAATTAGCAGGCTCTCTAGGTAGTAATTTCACACAGGTCTTTCCCAGGCTGTGCCCACGTTAGCAGGACTCTTGTTACACGTGAGCTTCCAAGCCCATGACCAGAAGTAGGATCAGAAATCTCTGTCATTTAAAATAAATGCTCTTATTTTTGGAAAAATTGTAATCTCCCACCCCCACCCCTAAAAGTCAATGCTATAATAAAAATTAAACAATATATAGAATATGTGGTGTTCTCACCTGTCCACTAGGGGCTCCTTCCCAAAGTAACCAGTGCTAATGGTTTGTTGTCTTTCCTTCAAGATACATTTTATGCTTATGTATATAAATCTTCATTTAAAAGGACTATTCTAAAAAAAAAGGACTATTCTGTACCCTTCTTTAAAATGATACATACTTTTTAAGAGACAGGCTCTCACTGTGTTGCCTAACCTGTAGTGCAGTGGCTATTCACAAGTGCAATCATGGCACACAACAGCCTCAAACTCCAGGCTAAAGCAATCCTCCTGCCTCTGCTTCTGGGGTAGCTGGGACTACTACAGGCATGTGCCACCATGCCCAGCTAAAATGATATATCTTTTTTTTTTTTTTTGAGACAGGATTGCTCTGTTGCCTGGGCTAGAGTGCCATGGCGTCAGCCTAGCTCACAGCAACCTCAAACTCTTGGGCTCAAGCGAACCTCCTGCCTCAGCCTCCTGAGTAGCTAGGATTACAGGCGTTCACCACCACGCCCAGCTAATTTTTTCTAATTTTAGTCATCCAGCTAATTTTTTCTATTTTTAGTAGAGACAGGGTCTCACTCTTGCTCAGGCTGGTCTTGAACTCCTGAGCTCAAATGATCCTCACGGCTGGCCTGAAAATGATAAATCTTAATGATCATTTGTATCAGTACGAAATGGACCCATATTGGACCCACTTTGTGTTTTTTTAAGTGGGTGTGTAGAGATGTGTATTTTTAAGATACTCCATGTTCAATGTTCTTTTAAGGCACCTTTAGCATCGCAGCAGCTGCTTTTGGATACCTTGCCCTACCTCCTGCTAGATTTGTCTGTAGTTGTCTAGGCTGTTGATCTTTTATAGTTTTTAAAGAGTTCAAAGGAAAGAGCAAGTATTTGAATCACACAGATCGCAGTGTCATTGCAGGCTGCACCAGCTTATAGCTGTGAGACTGTAGGCAGCAACTCGCCCTTTCTGAGCTTCAGCACCCTTATCTATAAAGTGGGAAGGCTGCGTCACAGTCATTGGCGCTCAGTGTCAGTTGTCTGATCCTTTCTCCTTACAGAAGCGTATTATAATTTTAGTTTTGTTACCTATAAGGAAAGCATGTTAGGGACTATATGATTTATACCAGTTAAGTCTGCCCACTCCTACAAATCTGTCTGTCTCTCTCTTTTTTTCTTTTGATAAGAATGAAGCCAAGAAAAATTAAAGAAGACGATGCTCCAAGAACAATAGCTTGCCCTCATAAAGTAAGTAATGCTAGGGGGAAAGTGTTCATCAAACTGTCAGTGAAGCTTTAGAGAGTTTATAAGAAATTTGCACAAGTCAACCTTAAGATAGTGGGTTGTATCTCACTCTTGGACATTTATGGGATCATAGGCTTGTTATTGAATTTGTAAATTATTTCGAATATTGCTAAAATAAGCTAAATAAAGACTTCATAATTTCCTTCACAATTTTTTTTTTTTTTATAAATTTGACCCTGTTAATTGTGCATTACTAGAGTGGTACTTAATTGTTTTCAAATATAGCTAGTCTTTAAAATAAAAAGGTAATCTGAAAAGTACTTCAAGATATTTGTTGGGGTCTACTTTCAGACTTAACTTGGATGTAAAACTAACAGAATAACGCAAGTATCGCATAGGTACAGAGAAACAAAGGGGGAGGAATTATGAATGGAATAAATAATTTTTAAAAGTTAAAAATTGGAGAAGGATAAAGTTAGCTCATGATATTGCCCCCATACTGACTATGCATTCACAAGTTTTTTGCGTTCTTTTTTAATGATCTTTATATGGAGATTTTAAAATGTGATGATTTTCACTGGGGCCAAAGATAAGCACTTGAAAACAGTTAAGCCTTAAGTGCCTGTCATCTCTCTAGCTTCTCTGTATACCTCTTTCCGAATTAATTTTTTTAAAGTTTTCTTTTACTTATAATTGACACGTAATAACTACATATTTATGGGGTGCAGTGTGATGTTTCAATGCATGTATATATCGTATACCAATTAAATATTTAAAATCTCATTTTCTAAATGGAAACTCAGCCTAGAGGTCAAGGTGAAAAAACTGTGGCTCCCCCTCCTGCCTGTGAAGCTGTCCAGTGGTGACTTGTGCTGTCCTTCTGTCACGCTGTCTTATCATTTCCCCCATTCACCCCATTATTGGGCAACAACTGCAGAAGAAATTGTTAAGGACACGCTTCTCTCGAACACCACACATCCATCTGCCTCCCCCTTGCACTGGTATCAGTTTGCCTGCTTCTTCCTTTTCTAGTGTCTCACAAAATAAATTTCTTCTGTAGTTGCCATTCCTTGGAGACCCTCTTGCTTCTTTCTCTGTCAAGAAGGGGAAAGAGGCAGAGAGAGAAGAGGGAACAGTAGGCGATGGAGAATGACAGCCCATTGTTGCAGCACAGAATACGGGGCCCACCAAAGGTAGTGGTGGACTACCGTCATTTTAACTCCATTTATTTATCAGTGCTTCTGTTACTTCATTTTGGGGGACATAGTTGGGTGAGGCGGCTGTGGTGTAGCTGGAAGCCAGGGTGTTGGGTTCTACTCCCAGTTTGGCTACTACTAGTTGTGTGACCTTGGGCAAGTCTACTTAAAGGCATCTATCTCTAAGCCTCAGTTTCCTCATCTGTGAAACAAGGGTTTGCATTAAATGATAAGTACTTTTCTGCTGTCTGTTTTTGTCTTAGATTATTGAATGTTCTATTGTAATACGAAGTAAAATTAAAATGGGGGGGTGGGGAGGTTGTTTTGTTTAAATATGTCAGTAAAGGCTGTTAAGTGGTTGAATCCTTTCTAACAGTTTGCAGTGTGAACCACTAAGCTTCTTTCTCTGTTTTAAGGGCTGCACAAAGATGTTCAGGGATAACTCTGCCATGAGAAAACATCTGCACACCCACGGTCCCAGAGTCCACGTCTGTGCAGAATGTGGCAAAGCTTTTGTTGAGAGCTCAAAACTAAAACGACACCAACTGGTTCATACTGGAGAGAAGCCCTTTCAGGTAGAGCCAGTTCCTTCTCCCCTCCATACTGCCTTGCCCTTCTGAACACAGCAGGCGAGGGCAGTGTGGTGACGGCACAGGAGGTGCCAGCCCAGAGTCAGGGTCTTATTTTTGCTCCTTAATGAGAAACAGAAATGGTCTCCTGCTGAGCCACAGGAGCAGTTGCCCAGCCTCTTGACTCCCCACGTGTGATCTGTGGTACTGGACACAGAATGTATCGGTGTTTGTGGAGCGCGCTTTATGGCAAGAGAAAAACAGCATTGTTCAGGAATAAACCTAAAACTAAGTTTCTAGTTATATTCACTGTGGGATTGAAGTAATTTATTTTTGGTGGTTAATAGTATATTGAATTACTAATTGACAGGGAATTTCTAAAATTTTATGAGAATAAGTATAGGTAGTATGTTATCTTGTTTTAAGCGTGTAATAGTGAACAGACTAGCAGTGCAGCCAGTAAATCTAACATGATTCTTTTTGGATAACTGACACTAGGAACTTCCTTAATCATTTCTGTTTTACTATTGGCAATATTTACGAAATATTTTCTAGGGCCTTAACCTGATATTTAGGATAATTCTTGCCATTTTGCCAAGGGGTTTCTCTTACATTGTGTTTAAACAATTCAGGAGGGCTATCCATGGGTTTTAGGGGTTGTCCAGCCTGTGGAGTTAGAGATCCCTGGCCACTAATTTTAGAGTATATCTAGAAAGTTTGCCTGGGGTAGGGAGGAAAAGTGTTTGGTAAAATAAATAGACTGTCCTCTACCAAAGCAGTGAGCTTCTGACTTCCCGGTCTGGTCACAGTTGCTGAGTGGGTTGATCTCTGGTCTTTCCTCGACAGTGCACATTCGAAGGCTGCGGGAAACGCTTTTCACTGGACTTCAATTTGCGCACACATGTGCGAATCCATACCGGAGACAGGCCCTATGTGTGCCCCTTCGATGGTTGTAATAAGAAGTTTGCCCAGTCAACTAACCTGAAATCTCACATCTTAACACATGCTAAGGCCAAAAACAACCAGTGAAAAGAAGAGAGAGAAGACCCTTCTCGACCACGGGAAGCATCTTCCGGGAGTGTGATTGGGAATAAATATGCCTCTTCTTTGTATATTATTTCTAGGAAGAATTTTAAAAATGAATCCTACACACCTAAGGGACATGTTTTGATAAAGTAGTAAAAATTAAAAAAAAAACTTTAATAAGATGACATTGCTAAGATGCTCTATCTTGCTCTGTAATCTCGTTTCAAAAACACGGTGTTTTTGTAAAGTGTGGTCCCAACAGGAGGACAATTCATGAACTTCGCATCAAAAGACAATTCTTTATACAACAGTGCTCAAAATGGGACTTCTTTTCACATTCTTATAAATATGAAGCTCACCTGTTGCTTACAATTTTTTTAATTTTGTATTTTCCAAGTGTGCATATTGTACACTTTTTGGGGATATGCTTAGTAATGCTATGTGTGATTTTTCTGGAGGTTGATAACTTTGCTTGCAGTAGATTTTCTTTAAAAGAATGGGCAGTTACATGCATACTTCAAAAGTATTTTCCTGTAAAAAAAAAAAAGTTATATAGGTTTTGTTTGCTATCTTAATTTTGGTTGTATTCTTTGATGTTAACACATTTTGTATAATTGTATCGTATAGCTGTATTGAATCATGTAGTATCAAATATTAGATGTGATTTAATAGTGTTAATCAATTTAAACCCATTTTAGTCACTTTTTTTTCCAAAAAATACTGCCAGATGCTGATGTTCAGTGTAATTTCTTTGCCTGTTCAGTTACAGAAAGTGGTGCTCAGTTGTAGAATGTGTTGTACCTTTAACACCTGCTGTGTACATCCGTGTAACAGAAAGGGCGACAATAAAGCAGCAATCCTAAAGCCAAGGACATGGCAGAGAAAGATCTGTAAGCACAGTCTTATTTTCTTCTGTTGTCCAGAATACTTATAATTCTTGAGCCTCCCAGAAATTGGAAGCTAAATAAAGCAACTCAAGTTTCCTTTATTTTGCACTCAATTACAGTGATTTGTGGTTAAAGCAATGCATGAATATTTTAATACTTCTTACATGTCCTGAATTCTGAAAGCGAGTAAGTAAAGTAACAGGCATCCCGAGTTAAGGAGCTACCTCAGAGTGCCCCTGCAGGCATGTGAGTGAAGCATCTGCCTCGGCCTGAGCGCCTCCCAAGGTAAGGCGCTAGCTGGCAGTGGGGCGCGCAGAGGCGAGACCAAGCCCTTCCATCACCCGGGCTGCCTTCAGAGCAGCTTCAGCAGGCTCTCTAACAGGGAATGCTTACAGTTGGTGGTTATTAGGCTTGAGAGCCTTGTTCCTCCATCCAGTGGAGTCCTTACTAAATGCTAGCAGATGTGGCAATTGGGCGCCAGTAGCTTAATTTCATGCTTCTAAATGGATACTGGGTGCAGATTGGCGAGGTTGATTAGATTATTCAGAAATTGTGCTCAATGAGTACTTTACCTCTCACATTGTGACCTCTTAAATATACGATTATAATTTTGGATTTTCCTTAAGGTTAAATACCAGACTTGCTGAAAATATTTTATAAACTGCCGTGATACAGCAAAATTCCATTTATTCAAAATGGAAAGATACTGTGTGTCTTCCTATGCTATGTATGCTTGACTCTGCAAGATGAATGACAAACTAAGTAATACCATATTTATTTACAAAATGGCCAGGACACCATCAGCTCAAACATGTAGCCCAATCTCTTACAGCTTCTCCATTGGTCCTATACAGGAGGATGGGTGACCGTGTGGCTCTGTGGAGTTTTGAAGTGCCTTTTGAATCATGAATGAAAAATATAACTTGAGGCCCTTTTTTTATTCGTCCAGCATCTGTTATCCATTGGTAGTTTGATGGAACTGAGTTAATCAGAAGACCCCAGCTGTTCTCTGGATAAGCCAGGCTTTGCTGTGTCTGGCAGTCAGGAGCGAGGTAAGCCCCTGGTGGAGATGCCCTTCACAGCTGAGTGCCCTGATTAGAACGTGGGATTCTTTGACGAGACTTGGGCAAAGGATTCCACTGATGTCAGTACCTGCCTTCCCCACTGTCAGGTTGAGCAGTCCCAGTGTGACCGTACTGAAATGTCACCCTAGTTGGTGCCTGTAGCAGGAGTCCAGAGCTGCATCACCCTTGCCCAGCATTATGCTGCACTGAAGCCTGGCCCTGGCACTGTCTTCAGGACCCTGCCCAAGGGCCCACAGCAGAGCACACCTGTGCTGTGGAGAAGTCCTGCCAGCAGCCCTGGGAGCCATGCCATGACGTGCAGGAGCCAGGCTCCCGGTGGAAGGAGGCCCCTCTTCCTCTGTGCCTTGATTCCTAGGGGGATGCCTTTGGCCATCTCTTCTGTCCCTTTCTGTCTCTGAGTGGAATAGTCATCACTCCCCTTGACTGATTTCTCTGTTCACATGTTTTCTCTCAGTCTGCAGAGTTAACTTCTGTAAGGAGTTCTATCTGGGATTCAAAGCAAACTTAATGTACAAGTACCTTGCTGACATAGCACTCTGAATCTCCAACAATAATATAGGAAACTAATAAATGAGCAGCACTATAAAAAGTAGAGGGAAGTCTCATTGGGTTTAGCGTGAACCCGTTTTGCTTGTGGTTAGAATTTATAATTTTGCTAAAGATGTAATTTACTAAAATTTGAAATGGTGTTCTAATAGTCCATTGTCTTGAGGATTAATCTAATTTATAAGTAATACTGATAGACATATTTTCTTACATCTGAGCAGAATAAATGCATGTTTCTAGCATATGTAATATAAAAACTCCAGAGGATAAGTTTACACTTAACAAGATGTTGTTTTCTATTTTTGAATTTATTATTTCCCCCTTTTTGTTAGTGGGGTTGAGAAGGGGGAGCATAATATTTATATAAAGAACTGTCACCCCAGGGTGACATTTATTTTCCAAGGTGACCCTGAACTCATGCTATGCTGTTGGTTTCATATGGTGTTTGTATGCTTTGCCTAGACTCAAGTCCTGGGGGTTTGGGGAAAATCAAGATTTTTTTTCTATTTGGTTTAACATACAAGTTCTTCTAAATGTCACTTATTTTGCTAAATAGTATGCACATTGCCTGCCCATGTTTCTAAGCAGAGTTCAAGTTCATTTCTTTACAAATAGGTGAGTCTCTTCAGTCAGGAAGAAGCCTACCCAACAAGTCATTTGAGAGTTCTTAGGTGGGTTTGCTGCTGCCCCAGTATCTGTTGTTTACACTCTGCCTAGCAAAACTTACCTATTTTAATGTGCCTCAGATCGGTCTCAGACTAGAGTTTATCTGTGGTACAGGGAAACCAGGCCCCCTAAGATAAGTTTTGTGAATTGGAAACCTAACGATTCTATCTATCACCCATTCCTGCTATGGCGGAGAGAAGCGATCACTTCCTGTGTCTCTGATCCTCTGTGATCTGGAATCAGTGTGGCTTAGGAAGTCCTTGTTAGTCTTTAATTCCGTAAGTTCCCTCTGTTTTCTTGACATCTGACCACCGGAGCAAGCAAAGATCCCAGAGGTCAAAACAGTAGTAAGAGCTAAAGCTGCTCACAGGTGTGTACCTGATGGCCACACCGGTGCCATGAGGTTTCCTCCTAACTGCTCTGATGGCCTGCTGAAGCCAGCTCCTTGCCTGTCACTGGACTGCGTTGGACCCCTGGCCGTAGGGGACACTTGTGTCCCTTTGTCCCAGCTCCATTGGCATTAGTGCGATCATAGCGCTTCTTCAGAATTCAGGCCCAGGAGGTCCTGGCAGGTGCATTCCACCCAAACCCAAGACGGGGAGGAAGCTGAAAGTTGAAGATGTACTTCCTTGCGGTTCTGGTCATGCACTTCATAGCCCGCTCTTTGACTTTCCAGAAGGTACCCCACGGTTTCGGAGTCACCAGTGACTCTTTGGCATTTGACTGGCTGGCTGGCTGGCTAGCTATCATTCACCCTAAATTACTGACCTTTGAATTTATCTTGTTACTGCTCAGATGTGGGCAGGTGCCCTGGTTGCCCGAAGATGGTTTAAGTGCAGGCCCTTCGGACAAGCGGCATCAGGCAGGAGAGGGCTGGCCTCTCATCCACAGGAGGGCAGATACAGGGCTAAGAGGCTTTCTGGCATCTGCTCCAGGCCTGAGTGGTCAGTATGGTGCTGGAGAGGACCTTTGAGCTGGGACTGTTTGGAGACTTGGTGGAGGGACAGGTGGCGTGTTGTTCATGCACATTGCCCGGTCCCCCTTAGTAAAACTGGAAGGGAATGTTGAAGTTGTATATTGGCATTAGGTCAGCAGGCAGATCCTACCTCCCACAAACTGGGTGCAAGAAGGCGTGAGCTGCCAAATGGAGGGCTCTGGCCATGCTGGGCATCCCAGCCCCCTTGGTTCCGGCTAGCATTCTGGGAGTCTGCAGAGAGGGTCAGTGTGGTGGCATCTCATTCATCGGAAGTACAATGATTGATTTTCCACAAAGTGGCAAGTTTGATCAAATTGACTGCTCTTCATCAGACACTCAGCCACTGTAAGAAACAGCATTGGGGTATGTGGGAGGGGCAGCTTGCTGTGGTCTGTTCTGTTGGCTGCTCTTGGGGCTGCAGGGTATCTGCATATGTTATGGAGGGGAGATGGGCATCCGTACCAAACAGGATAACCTTTTCTCTGCAACATGCATACCCGTTTTGAGGCTCTGTTAACCTACTACAGATGGTGAGAAAAATTCTGTTTTTGTTCACTTTCTGGTAATTTCTGTAGGCCCTGACTCAAGGACTTAGCATTGTGTCTCATGTACATCTTTTTCTTAAGTGTTCTTTGCCATTTCTGGAATTGTCCTTGGTTTTTCCTTAGCTCATAGGTCATAGACGCAGAAATATTATAGTGTTTAAGGCATCCGCATCAAGCATCAGATGGCTTTGCATCCAGAAAAACATTGATAACTCAGTTTGAAGCACCAAGCATGTGTAACATGGCTCTATAAAATACAATAAATGCATAATGTTAAGCTTTTTAATGCCTGTGGTTCTTGTTTGTTCCTCACTCCTCTAAGCCGCCTCTTTTGCCCTTCATTACACATTAAAGCCAGTGATAAACTTTGCCTGGTCTAGGGGTTGCCAGAACTGCCCGGGGTAGATCCTTGTGGCTTTCCTTTGCGCACGGGAATGGAAACTCTCAGGATTCGGTCTCAAACCTGCCAGAAATGCTTCCTTAACATAGCCTTGCAGCTCCAAGATGGACTGATGAGCCAGAAGGAGTTTTAAGGAGAACCTCACCCACTTTTGAGAAAGTGCAAGCACAGCCCAAACGAAGTTCCTGGGCAGCTGAGCCTGTGATTCTGTCAGCCCTGGAAGCTGCGGAGCCAAAAAGAAAAGCTTACTGACTGGGATGGACTCTCGGAAGAACTCAGGAATACATGCCGAGAGCTACTTAGGATTTGGCCAAAGGCAAAGTGCAGCGCCGCATTTTCCCCCCTGGCTGGAGCCCCGTGTCTGAAGTGCTGTGCTGCAGAGTGAGACTCTTTAATACACGTCACTTTTGTTTTTGCTACTGACAGAAGCGGCTGCTGACAAAACGTTGCTGAGGTGGCAAGTCCCAGGCTCGCGTGCGCCCAGGTGGCCGAGCGAAGGCCCGAGGCCGAGTAGAGCTCTGCTGAGGAAGAGCCGGGGTGGAACAGTGCGCGTTGGTGGATTTTAGATGGAAAGGAACTGAGAGGCTTTGGAATTGCTTTCTGGAGGGCACCCCCAGGTAAAAACGAAACCAGCACCTCTCCTCTGCACTTGCCCAGGTCTCCACCTGGCTGTGCTCACACTTGAGCACCTAACTGTGCCCCGGGTCCCATGTCACTTCATTTACTCCTCCAAACCACCCTTTGAGGAACCAAGGTAGCATTGTCGCCATGTTGTAGGTGAGGAAACAAGCTTAGAGGTTTCCTTGCAAGAGTCCAGGCAGCAGAATTCAAAACCCAGGCCTGCCTGGCTTCCACTGTGCTCCGCTTGCCGTTGGTCCCTCGG